GCTCCTGCGAGGGAAGGGACACAAGCCCAGTTTACATGCACTTGGACTCCTGCCTGACCCGTATGCTGGGCTTGAACGGGTGTTTTGAAACCTTTGCTGAACCTCGCCTGCAACTGAAGCAGAAGTTAGTTATTGCATGTACCTGTTCAGAAAACGAACGGCTCCTGCCACAGGAGCCTGTGCCGAAGAAGGCTCGCTCATGCTTCCCAGGTGCCGCAGGGCGGCCTCCCCGCCCCCTGTTTCTCATCGTGCCACCCGCCCTGCCTGGGCAGCACAGGCCGCTGCCTTTGCTTGGTGCCATGGGCTCTGCAATTAGCCCTAACGGGCTGTGGCCCCAGTGCATGGCCTTCCCACAGCTGCCAAGGAACAGCTCTGGGTGAGCCACGTCCAGTTGTGACTCCCGCAATGGAGAGCCCTCGCCAGCCCAGCCCCGGCTGCCCCGCCATCCTGCTGCTGTGCACCAGCATGCAGACACAATGTTTCTGAATGTCTTTTATCTCCAGACGCGCAGGTTTGAGTCAAGCAGAGTTGGCTGTAAATCGACTAAGGGAGCTTGGAGTCCTGCCCTGGGACCTCGTTTCCCACTCCTTCTCACAGTGTGAAGGCTGCTCTTGTGCTACCCGCAGCAGCACAGTGCTAAGGCCGTCCATCACCTCCACCCTACGTGCTGTATTTACGGAGCTGGGACACCCCGTGGCACTGTGTGGGTGTTTCAGCTCTCAGAGGAATGGAAGTCAGATGCTGACATTTTTCCCAAGCTGATTTCCAACACTTTGGGCTTAACCCTGTCAAGTTTTCCATTTCCATTTTTAAAATACTATGTTCTCAAGCGTGAAGTAATCGTGGGATACTGAAACAATTCCTCTCTTACTGGCCTGAACTGAAACAAATCCAACCCCAGCTAAACCCAAACCTGCTCCAAACAGAAATAAGGTCCTGTTTTGACTTCGATGGATCTTCAGACCTCTTGGATCTTTGCCTGATCTAGCTTAGCTTAGAATTTACTGAACTTCTATGTGCAGCTGCTTTACAATATTGAAGTATAAACCAAAATACATATGAAGCACATTGATTCTTAATCTAAAGCAGCATTGAGGGTTTTTTTTGGTTATAAACAAATATCCAGTACTCCGTATCGTTCTAAAAAGTCTGCTTAAATCCAGCCAAAAGGAAGATATGCCACATACATTCCAGAAGGATGGTAAAATTATTTATTTTTTCATTAGTTTACATATACAGTGATGACATTTGGCTAGAAAAATGCCTGTATTGTAGTAAGAGATATTCAAGCAACTACAAACTGTCAATAAATACATTAAAAACATACTGTATGCTGATGTAGAAATACCCTACGCTCTTTAGGTTACTTACCCAACACAATATTATTGAAAAGTTTTTTGGTGTTTTTCATGCAACGTCAAAATTCTTCCTGACAATTCATGCCATACAACACTTTTTTCTTTATTAGGAATGAGATGAAATTTAAAATCCTGTTTACAAGTAGTAGAAATTGCTGAAAGTTTTAACATAAATCTCTCAATTGTTGTAATAAAAAGAACCAATTTAAAGAAGGTTGTCTTTAAAAAAATTAATTTTCTGAACTAATTCTTTATAAAACAGGCAGTATTTCAAAAGGGGTGTTTCCATCACCCAGGATGAATAATTTGTGCTTCAAAATTTTAAAAGGAATATTCGTGGCAAAAGCCTAAACCCAACTGGTAGGTAGAGGAGAGATTGCAGTACGGACTGGCTAAAACCAAACATGCTTTCAAAATCTGTCCAGGAACACAGTAAACACTTATCCACATCACTATGCCATCATCTACTCTAACAATTAGAAATGGAGTTTTAATAATACTTAGCTCTTTTCATGCTCAAAATTCTTCACAAACATTTAAATAACCCTAACGCTTCTGCAAGTATTATTATCCCCATTTTACGCTTGGGGTGGTGGAGGCGGAGAGGGCTGGGAATTTGCCAGGATACAGACCACATCCTTTCCGTCTTGCCTCCTTTGATTGTCCGAGTTCTTTATCACTTTCTGTATTTTACAGTCAACATACTGGAGAGTTCCAGGAAACACAGGTGGTACATTTCCATCAGTTATTAGTGGTTATTATGCAAGTTGTGCCACTTTGAATGTTACATGACAAATATTAAAGTAATAATCAACATGAAGTCCACATCCGAGGCTCAGGATTGATGTCCTAGAATGCCACACCATTTTCAAACCAAGCTTGCTCTTTCTGTAACAAAGTGTTGGGGACATGAGGCCTAATTCTCTCTGTTATACAGCCAAAAATGACTCTTAAAGTCAGTCATGGCGGTACAAAAGAATAAAATCCATTCCTTACCATCTGTCCCTGGGAGCACGGAAAGCCCTTGCAGTGGCCCAGTACATCCTGACATACAACAAAAAGGACATGTAGATCAAAACAAAGATTTCAGATGTGCTAACCCACCATGAGATACAGATAACTAAGGTCTCTTCCCCTCTGCCCCCAAATTCGAAAATATTTGTGTCTGAATTATGTCCTAGAAACCCTGTGGAAAAGTAAATATCTAGCAATGAGATTGCAGATACAAAATATGGTATTTTGCCTTCATCATAGTATCAGTCCCCAAATCGTATTATTTCAGTTGATATCAACATCCTGCACAGAAAGGGCATTTTTCATTTTGCCACATTTGCCCTCTTGAATTTTCTACCTTATACCTTGCAGTCTGTGCCCTGTTTTGATTTTTATTCTGCCTAGTTTACTCTAAACCCAGCTTGGTTTCTTGCTGCCTCTGACAAGCTCTGGGTTTGCTCTGCCAGTGGACTGCAGGAGCAATGGATAACGTTGCAGTGTTTCACTACCTGATCTGTGAGAGATGAGCGACACAAAATTCTGTCACTTGTAATAACAAAATGACCGAGTGTGCAAAATTACATCCCTCTTACAGGCACCCAAAAGGCTTTAAAAAGGCACGTGTATTCTTTGTCACTTGTTCCTCAGTGCCCGATCTTGGTGGTTTTAGTGCATCTCCAATAAACCCCATACAGTGCACACATTCCCTTGCAGTATGGAAGGAACTTGGAATAAAAATTAAGATCTTCAGATACACTTCATAGTGAGCAGCTGTTGCTCAGTAGCTGTCTTGCTCTTTAACAAACACTAGAGCTGAACACGGGTTCTTACAGCAACCTCACTCCCTAATCTGTTTTCCCCCTTCCTTCCCAAACATCCAAATTTCTAGCAGAGGGGAACAGTGCAGGTTACGTGGGCTTTTTCCCGAGCAGATATCCAAAGCTCTTCCTGCCTTTTGGAGAGCTGGTAGGCCAGAAAACCTCTCTTTTGCACAGATGTGGGAGCAAAAGTACAGGAGTTTTGCCCCTCTTCTTCCAGCAGTGCAGCCAAGAGCTGGCCGAGTACCCCGCTTCTGGCCGTGTCCTGAGAGGTGCGAAGCGCCTGTGGCTTCTTTTGACCTCAGATGGGGTCTGTGAATGTTTACCACCAACGGAAATCAGTTCCAAGGCACTAGGCAGGAATGGAAAGGACATAACAAAGCTATTGTGACCTGGGTTATTCTATACAGCTGAAATACCAGGCTAGAAAAGTAAGAGGCATTGGCATCTTCCTCTGGGCTTTCTGGAAAAAACAATTAAAACAAACAAAAAAAAAGATGCAAGATCCCAGGCAAATGTTTTCCCTGCCTAACTGAAGCCATTGTCCCTGCTTCAAAAATCCAGGAAATGTAGGGATCAAAATACATTGATTCAAATGTGCTAATGTTTCAGATGGGTGAAATGCACTGGCACACTTGGGCATGGCTTCAGTTCTGTGTGAGGGACAGGAGCCCACAGGCCTGCTTGGGCTCCAGGGGACTTACTGGAGGAGTTTCATCTCCAAACGCCAGTCTGGTGATGAGAGCTAAGCATTCCCCCCAGCCTGGACCGACCCAAGCCTGGATTGAATGCATGTTCACATCAAACTGGACTTCTAGCTGCCTTAAAAATGCAGTCTTGAAAAAAAGGTTCAGGAAAGGAAAGGCTGATGCTTTGGCAATTCATTATCTGTCATGCAGTCCAAAAGCCTCGGAACATTATCAGTAGCTTGACTAGTGGCAATTCACTATTGCATGGCTGGTAATCACCAAGAAAGCATTTCTTAATGGTTAAAGCAGTCACATTGATCGGGCACGCTTTTCACAATTCCTCCAGATCGGTTAAATCCACAACCACTTTCAAAAACAGAGTGTCATCTCTGATGTAGGTGTTCTTTGTGTTCTCCAAGACCGTGTGTGGCACGAAGCGTGGACATCCGGAGGCGATATTCATTTCTCCATCCGGTCTTTTGAAACTGCTGCTGTTGGGGTCAGCTCTAAAGACTTCCACGATGTGATTTTTTTTGCCACTTTGGTCCAAAAGCATAAGTGTAACTTTTTGCTTGAAAGGCCACAGCAGCAGCGAGTCAAACTCCCCTCTCATCACTACGAAGTAGAGAGAGACGTGTGTTCCCTTTCCTGAGCCATCCCCGTTCAGGTAGGCTCTTGCGCATAACCTGTACCCGCAGCGGCTGGTGTAAAAGGGCTGGCTGAATATGGAAAGGACACGGCCTTCCACCGCTTCTTTTTTCTTCATCTTGTAGTCTGTGATTTTCCAGATTAATTTCCCATTGTAGCACGTGCCTTCCAAAAGCTTAAATCGTTCTTCGTTTTTATTGAGCTGTGCTTTGTGAATATTGATCTGGAGATCGTGTTTGCTGGACTGACCTTCCAAAACAACTGAGGAGGGGGGGAAAAAAAATAATAGAAAAACATTTGGTAAAATAAAACTGTCAGAGCACTGGATACCAGACTCAAACTGGCAAAACTGAACTACTCAAGCATAAGTACGGGCTGTGAACTACTGTTACTACGGTTGTTAATTTTTCTAAATTGTAATTGCAGCTGGTAGTTGAATAGGGAAAACTGGTAACTACAAACCAGATTTAATGCCCTGCTATGGATAGTACCACTGCCTCCATCACAGTGTGTCAGCCTTAGCAAGGCCAGCTCTCTAGCCCTGCAGTGCCACAGGAATCAGGGAGACACTGTGGAGTAGGGGAAGGTGGGAGGATGCAGCACACACCTCCACGGGTTGGTCTTAGAAAGGAAGAAGAGGAAAGCCCTTTCTAGTGAAGAGCTGCAATTGACTGACCGTAGCACCAGAGCCTTTACTTAACCACCAGTAAATCAGCAAAACACCCACAGCCATGCCAAAAAGAACCAACAGTCCCAACATACCCAAGCGCTGATCGTATGTCTCCATCATAGCAATCTTCTGTTTTACATTTTCAATTGTGTCAAACAGGGGTCGCAAGTCTAATTTACTTTGCTGCTGGTTTGCCATCTGTATTAGCTGTTTCACTTGCGATTCCAGGCGCGCAGACTTATCCAGGTGACTGGCCAGAGCCTTCCCAGTTCACGTCATTGGAAGAGGGTGGGAAGTGGAGACAAGAGACATCCATAAAATCAGCCATTTCATTTGAAATAAGATAAAGAAGTCTTTAGCATGTCAGCATATCAACTATATGGTGCATTCCAAGTGTTCTCCTGGCTTAGGAATGTATCTCAGTGCTCCTTCATGATTAATTCAGCACATTTACTGACTACGAAGCCATCCGTCATTCAGACCCATTCACACTGCATCACTTCATTCAACTGATTATTCAAATTTACACCTATGTATTTGCCATGGGTATCTGGCCATGAGGATTTGTACAGTGCTCTTTGCCCAGATCAGATATCCAAACTTGTTTATTGGTTAAAATGAAAAGACAATACTGTATCGTAAAAAACACCAAGAAGGGCTTGTCAACCATCTGAGAGATTTGTTATTGCCCTGCTATTAATCATCATCATCACAGAATGGTTTGAGTTGGAAGGGAC